AAATATTAAAAAAAAATTTATAAATACACCACGATAGAAATTTGACAAAACTATGGGTGTTTCTATTATAATATTTTAACTGTAAATTTATGAAATCAAAAATAAAATAAAATAAAATAAAATAAAATAAAATAAAATAAAGAAAAAAAAATTAAATATTAAAAAAAAAAAATTATAAATACACCACGATAGAAATTTGACAAAACTATGAACGTTCCTATTATAACATTTAAACACTGTACATTTTTATGAAAAAAAAAAAAAACAATAAAATAAAATAAAATAAAGGAAAAAGAAAATGAAATATAAAAACAATATAAAATTACACCAGAATAAAAATTAGATAAAATTTATGAGTGTTCTCACTCATCATAGGAAAAAACAAAAAATTCTAAGATAATTACAATAGATTTTCTTATTTCTTTTAACAAGTACACACACACACACATATACACATAAATAAGATAAAATAATAATGAATAATAATAATTACCTCTTATGACCAAAACCACCGCCACTTTCATTCCTTTTGTGACCACTTTCTGAACGTTTATGACCAAAGGCACTGGATATGCTTTCGGCCCGTTTGTGACCGCTTTCGGATCGTTTGTGACCGATAAAACCACCACCAGATTCTGTACGTTTGTGAGCGAACATGCTCGAACTCGAGCCGTTCCTCTTGTGTCCACTGGTTGATGCCATTTTTTGTACCATCTATCGTAACCTTATCTCCTCAAGAGTACTTCTTATAATTCCTCTTCTCAATTATTTTCCTTTTCCTTTTATCCTCTTTTTTTCCCCCCTTCTCCTTTAAGTAGAGGTAAAAAAAAAGGGAAGCTACCTCCTACGAGTTCAACGTGTTCAACTGCATCATCTTCTGGTGTTTCTGACTTCTGAAAGGTAAACAAAAAATAAAAACACAATTAGGTATAGTTCAAAAGGTTGAACAAATGATTAAAAAAAGAAAATGTCATATTTCTTTGTTAATTATATATATATATATATATATATTTTTTTTTGTTGGTAAATAAAATTGATAGTCTTGTGTTGATTAATATTGTGAGGTATAAAATTAATTATATTGTGCATTAGATTGATTGATGTGACAATTAATGTGATTTTTCTTTTTACTCGTGTATATTTATTTACAAAATGAAAAACAACAAAAATATTTGCACCGCGAATTATTTGTCAAATTTTAATACTATATATATATATATATATATATTTTAATAAAAATAATTGTGCTAAATAATAATTTATTATAGTATATATATTAGTACTAGTACTATATATTATATATAGTATATTTACTATTTAAATTAAATTTAATTTTATATAATATAGTAATTGTACTATATATATATATATATATATAGTAATAATATAAATTATAATATATTAGTGTTTATATGTAGGGAGGCCTTCGGGGTAAACACCCTAAAGGGGTATACCTGAAAAAATAAACTTCTTCTTCTTCTTCTTCTATATTAGTATTTATAATAATATATTAAATATAAAATTATAATATATATATATATATATATATATACTATCTTTCAAGTTGGATAAAACTGCACAAAGTGTGCAAAATTTTATTAAAATCGGTTCAGTAGTTTAGGAGTCCATTGCGCACAAACAACGTGACACGTAATTTATATATATTAAAATATAATAATAATAAAAAATATAATATTATATAAATAGTAAATACTAAATGTAATATATATAATATAATTATTATTTAATATATATTTGAAAATTAATTTATCTAGTTTATAGTTGATTTATTTTTCAGGTATATCCCTTTAGGGTGTTTACCCCGAAGGCCCCTTCTACATGGAATTAATTTATATATTATATATATATATATATATAGATAATAATTCGTAAGATAGATGGTAATAATTATAACAAATATTATCTAATGAAAATAATTGATTTGGATTAATTATTTTTATAAAATTAAAATAGATCACGTACAACTTTAAACAAATAAAAAAGTGAAAAAAGTCGGTTACTAGATTTTTCAGCGATTACAATTTCCCCGTTACATGGCTTCCCATCACCTAATACGTGACATAATATTCGAAGCTTACGGTCATAGTTCTGTCTTTCTCTCTCTGTCTTATATATACATATATACGCACACACACAGATATAACTGTTGATGATGATGATGATGATGCCTTGGAGGCATCGCGTTCATTTCGTGCGTGAAACTCTCGTGATTAACGTGTTTTCCTTATCCTACAAACTTACCACACATATACATACATACATACATATATACATACATATATACATACATAATCACATTTGCAACTTAATCAAACCTAATAAATTTTCTCGCTACATTTTTTCTTCTATTTTTTTTTTTCTTTCTTTCTCATAATCAGTCGACAGAAAAAATATAATGGTTGGTAGTTAAATAAATATGAAAAATAATTTATTATCTTTTTTTTTTATCTAACCTGAAGATTATATATATTATATATATATATTATTCAATCTTTATACTTTTTTAATATTGTTTTATAAAAGTAAAATTAACTTTGTTATATTTAAAAATGATAAAAAAAAAAAAAAAATGTAAAACATTATACGATGTTTTACGACCAATCAATGCATTAAATATTATATTTGGAATACGTGTATTCGAAATATTCAACGATAAAATAATAATAGCAATATATACTATACTATTATAAAAAAATGCATACGAATTTTTTTCTCATATTTTTTTTTTCATGATTATAAATCATCTTTTTTTTTTTTTTAACATTTATCTATATATGTATGTACATATGTATGATTTATGTATATATATATATATGTATGAACGAAAAGAATTATATTGTAACACTGGATCGATAAATTTATTCAATTTTTGAAAACTTATTGTATTTAAAAAGGAAGATCAATTTTTCTTCTTCATCATCATCATCATCATCATCATCATCATCTTCATCATCTTCATCATCATTGAACTGGTGTCATCGTGCAAATGAATGTAAATGCAACGAATAACGGACGAATCATCTTACAGAAAGGTAAGATGTATCAGATGCATATATATATGTATACATGCAACTGGATCGACACATTGCGCTTTGTGCAACCGTGCGATCAATTGACATTTTCTCTCTGGTGAATCCAACGGTTCAATGACCTTTCACTCCTCGGTAAGGTCAGGGCCGGTCAGGATAAACGTGGGCCTTAAAAGAAAATTTCTACCAATAGTTTTTCTTATGGTTTCTTATCTTTCATGAAGATAAGATAATTAAAGAGGGGGAAGGAAGGGAGCGGGTGGAAAGGGGCGGGG